TGTGACAAACATCAAGAGACGACAACAAACCACAACATGTCAGTAGTGATCGGAGTGTGACAAACATCAAGAGATGACAACAAACCACAACATGCCAGTAGGTGAAGGTTATATCGAGGACAGAAAGTGAAGGTCCCACCAGACACTGGGTAAAGCAGTGCACCAGTTTAGTATCTGATGACCAGATGATGGGCAAGGTACATCTGTGTGTGCTAGACTTATGCTGTGATAAATCTGTGCTCTGCCAGAAAATTTCTGTTTAGGATATCAGTAATAACAATAATCCGAATGTTTGTGATCCTTTTTCATAGTGTTACTTGTCACATTAAAAATCAATTAAATGTATGTCTTTATATGGCAGGTAGACACATGGACATGGGCGGCGAATACGACAATGCAGAGCCACCACCTAGTCGTGGAATAGAAACCAAAACCATGATTCCTATTGTTGTGTTTTTAGGAATCATGTTCGTTGGCATGTGCGTTGCTTTGCAGCTGTTTAGTAGGTAAGAAAATCAGCCGTGATAAGTTGAATAATAGTTTAGGAAATATTACAATATAACCAAATGGGAATTACGTATTTCGGGTTTGTTTATTTATTGAAAATGGTCATTTCATATTTCATATTTTAAGCACAATATTGCCTTGTAATTTTATATACGGACGTGGAAGAGAATGTTGATTTTTTTTTATGTTTTAACGTTTCTAAAATAACTGAGGTTTATTAATGATATTTACTGTATCAAATGTTTTTAATATTCAAATAGTTCGGGATTTATAAATGACTGTATTTTATCATGTATGCTTATTGCAGAACTAATTTATTTCTAAGATTCTCCATTGTTAGTTTCTAAAAAGCATTTATAATCTTTCAGTGAAGTTAAACAAACCACTCATAAGAACAGCAATAATTAAAAGACAACCCGAAACTTGAAGTGGCGTCATTTCCCAGTAGAGCGCTTATAAAATATCCAAAATGCCTTAATATTTAAATTAGAGGTTGAAGAAGTTTTGATTTTATTTTTTACCTAGATTAACAACATAATATTTGTTCTCAGTTTAAGTTTATAAATAGGTAACAAGTGGGAGAACAGTATGGCTACAAGACTTTCAAATTATCTTAATGTAAATAACTTGAAGTCTAATAACATTCCATAATGCAGTGGTTCCCAAAATTCTTAAATCGCGGCCCCCTTTGCCCCCTCCAGTTTCCCGTGCACCCTCCAGTACTTCTTTGAAGTACATATTTTTGACATTTTATATTCAGTGTTCAGTAGCATACAGGTACGTGACAAAAAGGAAATAAACAGATATACATCATGTTTTTAATCAGAATTGTTTGTGATATTTTCACAGATCCCAAACATTCATAATTCCCACTTTGAGAATCACTGACACAGTGATGACACCTGTGAAAGTTCTTGTTTAACTTACTGCATCATATTATTGATATAAAAAAATCTTACATAAGCAGGACCTCTAAACTTTGTGTTGTCGTTAGACGACATAATAGTTATGAAGACTACATAAGTGAGTCATCTCTGATTACAACACGTTATAACAGTTATGAAGACTACATAAGTGAGTCATCTCTGATTACAACACGTTATAACAGTTATGAAGACTACATAAGTGAGTCATCTCTGATTACAACACGTTATAACAGTTATGAAGAATACATAAGTAAGTCATCTCTGATTACAACACGTTATAACAGTTATGAAGACTACATAAGTGAGTCATCTCTGATTACAACACGTTATAACAGTTATGAAGAATACATAAGTAAGTCATCTCTGATTACAACACGTTATAACAGTTATGAAGAATACATAAGTAAGTCATCTCTGATTACAACACGTTCAGTGGACTGAAATTCTAAGTTGTACAGTTATGGAAAGTAGAACTTATTGATAAATGGTAAAGTGTTTTTTACGGCCCTTCGATGGAACAGCGGCAAACGTTTGAACTTACAGCACTAAAGTTCAGAGTTCGATTCCTCGCGGTAGACACAGTAGATATTTCATTGTGGTTTTTCTCTAAAACAGGCGAACTTTTTTTTTTATTACATAAAACATGTTATATACAGTAGCGTTTAAGCGACTATAATGTTACTGATTTCTTAGCGACCTTCCCGCCATCAATAGTAGCACAAAAATAATCAATAATTCGGGTACATTGCCCTCCAGTAAATGTTAAAGTAATTTACGAAGAACCAATACATTCAACCCAGCTACCGCCCATAATAAAAGTGAGTCAATATTGGATTTTTTAAAATAAATTCGGAAGTTTTATAAAGATACAAAATTGTAGGTGACGTTGCTGATTAAAAATGTTTATGCTTCAAAACGGTTAGGGTTAATTATGACTAAACGTTGTTTGTGATATTTTAAAAGTAAGAGAGTATTCTTTCCGCTAATGACTAAGAGTTTTAAGTTGTTTGACTGTTACCTGTAAATTGGAGAAAACTGAAAAACTCACCCACTACAGTTTACTTGCACTAAGGATCATGAACCTCACTACAGCTTACCTGCCCTAAGGATCACGAACTTCACTACAGTTTACCTGCACTAAGGATCATGAACCTCGCTACAGGTACCTGCATTAAGGATCATATAATACAACGTGGGCTTACCTGCACTAAGGATCATACAATACGCTGCTGATTTACCTGCACTAAGGATCATATAATACAACGTGGACTTACCTGCATTAAGGATCATACAATACGTTGTGGATTTACCTGCACCATGGATTACTTTCCCGCTGCGGACTTACCTGCTCTAAGGATCATGTAATGCGTTTCAGCTTTACTTGTACTAAGGATCACACAATATGCTGCGAATTTATCTGCATTAAGGACCATAGATCCTTTTGCAACTTTACCTGTATGACACACAGTTTAAAATTGCTACGATATTTAAACTTTTAGGATTCGTTCTTGATGGTAAACTGACGTGAGAGATCCCAGAAAGCATATTAAAATATAGATGCCAGCAACAAAGGAAGTTGTCAAGTAAAATAACAGTCTTCATATGTACTGCTGTGTATCTAGTTTCGTAAACGAGGTTCATGATCCTTAGTGCAAGTAAACTGTAGTGAAGTTCATAATCCTTATTGCAGGTAAACTGTAGCGAGGTTCATGATCCTTAGTGCAAGTAAACTGTAGTGAGGTTCATGATCCTTATTGCAGGTAAGCTGTAGTGAGGTTCATGATCCTTAGTGCAAGTAAACTGTAGTGAGGTTCATGATCCTTATTGCAGGTAAGCTGTAGTGAGGTTCATGATCCTTAGTGCAAGTAAACTGTAGTGAGGTTCATGATCCTTAGTGCAGGTAAACTGTAGCGAGGTTCATGATCCTTAGTGCAGGTAAACTGTAGCGAGGTTCTGATCCTTAGTGCAGGTAAACTGTAGTGAGGTTCATGGTCCTTAGTGCAGGTAAGCTGTAGTGAGGTTCGTGAGCCTTAATCAGTTTACTAAACCACAAAAAGTTAGTTTTAGCGCTTAAATTTAGTGAAATGCCCCGTTTGCAGGGGCGATTGAATATAAAATTGAGGAAGGGGGCTGCACTCTACATTTTGTGGGAACATATACTGTAGTATTTAGGAAGTGAACCAGCTTTAACAGTAAGCATTGATCGTTGGGTGAAGAGGCTATAGGGGAGGCTAAGGTCTCAGCAACTCCCCTTTACCTCCGCGCCTGCCCGTTCGGTACACCAATCTTCTAAATCAATTAGTTTGATATTTTACTTACCTAAGCGCTCAATGTAATACATCGTCTGTCTTAATTCGCTGCATGGTCATCAAACTCTGAATATTACACATCTACGAGACCTGAATGGGGCATATAAAGTTATTTTCAAAGATTTTTCAATAACTTATAATTGTTAGTATATCTTATAAAACTTTGCCTGTAAGTTATGGAAATAAAGTATGGGAACTGGAAACTCCAGCGGTTGGAGTAAGAGTGGCTTAACTGACAACCATCAGTTGAAACAACCAATAAGTAATAGCGAAGTATGCAAGTTAATATTTCAATCCAAATTTTAAAAAAATATATTGATCTACTGTACATTTGTTTACACGTTATATTGTACGTCATTTACTCTTTCACTACTACTTTTATAAATAAACAGCTCTCACAGTTTCTGGTTTAACTTTAGAAACAGAGTAAAAACAAAAATACATATTAATATTTCATCATTTATACGCCAATTAAAACTGGCAAACGTTGGGAAGTTCGAAGAACAATACCCCCTCTTCATGTACAAATGTACAAAATCCCTTGTGATTTAACATCACACTCCTCAAGGCTTATGGTATTCTATACATGTTCTTATGGCAGCGTAAGAGTTAAAATAAATATCATTTTTATCTCCACTATAATTAATATTTCCAACAATAAAATAATATTAACAGATTATGTTTTTAGAAGTTATAATTATTAATAAATAAATCTTATAAATTTATCTTAATTTAGTTGATTCCACCTACAAGAAACGGATTTCCGTAACCTCGGAGACGGGAAGTCCATTGGTTACTTTGTGCATATGTTTAATATTCAATGACCTTTTACTTTGATCTTGGTCACAGTATTATCATATAAGCATTCACAGCTACATTCGGTATGTCATGACCATTTACTGTCATCATAACAATGATCCGAAGCTTTTACGTATTGAATACTTCATTGTGTTTCGGAGTGTTTTGAGAGCTTAAAAATAGTACAATGATATTCTAACAGGGCCAGATTCCGTAACGAGCGAACCATTTTCAACTCTCCTCATCCACGGTTGATGCACATCAGGTTGGGAAAGAAGCGCAAGGGAAGCAGCAAACGCGCCAGTCACGCGAGCCTCCACGTGCCAGGCTCCAGGAGGCCAAGCACCTATTCACAACGCTCTCACCCGTCTCCACGCTCGCTGCGTTCAGGTAAGTGAGTTGGTATTTACATAAAATGTTTTACATTCAATTACGGAAATATCCCGAAAAGACATAAAAGTGGTCTGATAGTTTCTCTTAAATGTCACCTTCGTTTTTATTAAAATAATTTCAGTTTCATTCGTGCTTTTGTTTTATAACTAAGGTCATAGATCAAGTTTATGGTAGCTGTGAAAGATATTCCGATAAAGAAAAATATTTATTATGGTTAGTATTATGAATTTTACTAATAGCATTAATATTTTTTTATAAACTCATCTCATTTAAACATATGGAAAAGATTCACAGCATAGACCCAATTGAGTTGTGATCTTAATGTATTACTCGCCGAGATCTCTTTTAAATTAAACAGACATGTCTTATTACTAGGCCTAGCAAAGATCATAGAATAATATTAATGAACGACTACGTCACACTCACCTAAGGCATGCAGAAATACACTTGGATTAATTTCCACCTCGACAATACTGTTACCTCTCTGGTCGTTTGTTAATTTTCCGTAGAAATTCTTTCCGAAAAACTTCAGCGATACAAGTCCTTTCTTAAATAAAACTAGTTTATTCTTTCTCAATACAACTTTGCAATACACTTAATTTCCACAGTCACTTTAACCTAAACACACGCTAGAATTCACAACGATTCACGCACTTTACTTACGGCTTGACTCGATTATCTGTATCTTCAATCTCTCTATCTGCAATTCAATTATTGCCATCACTTTATTTGCCAGCTTATATAATAAAATAGAGGGCGCCTAGCAAATACTGGATTATTCGCGATGTTCCCCGATCCTTTTAGAAACTCATCACGTGCTACCAGAGTCACGTGACTTCCGCTGTCGTAACAATACATTAAAGAGACGTATAACCTTATGAGCATCAGTAATACGTAAATTAGTAAACAACATCAGCAGTTTTGAGTGGAAATATTTTATATTCAAATGAGTAAATGAAATGTTGTGAACTACACACAGGTTTAAAAATTAGAGATGCGCCGTTTATTAAGTCGATATCGTTATTGGTGATTCCGACTACCACTGATTGTTTGTTTGTTTTTTTGTTTGTTTTTTTTAATTTCGCGCAAAGTTACACGAGGGCTATCTGCGCTAGCCGTCCCTAATTTAGCAGTGTAAGACTAGAGGGAAGGCAGCTGGTCATCACCACCCACCGCAAACTCTTGGGCTACTCTTTTACAAACGAATAGTGGGATTGACCGTAACATTATAACGCCCCTATGGCTGAAAGGGCGAGCATGTTTTGGTGTGACGGGGATTCGAACCCGCAACCCTCAGATTGCGAGTCGAGCTCCCTAACCACCTGGCCATGCCGGGCCCACTACCACTGATAGCAATAGCATAAAATAATTTAAATGATTTTAGAATTAGTCAATTATTTGATACTTCTGATGATGTCTTAATTTATTCTTGCGCGAAATAGTAATTAATTATCAATTTCAAAAATATGATCGGTATCGACGCATCTCTATTAGAAATACATCGTGACTTAATGCTTAGTTTCTTTATTTTTTTACATACAAAGTTCTATTGGTCTGTGTACCATAAAACTACACGTTAAAGTTGTTTCGAAATATAACATTTTAGCCGTTTAAAAGATGCTCTGCTTGTTAAGGGAGTCATTTATAAAACGTATTTGTAATTCCAGAAGGAAAAAAACACTTTTCAAAAACGTCTCGATCTTAATTTGTGAAATAGAGGCATACTTGCTTGTCTTGTAATTTTATAAAAAAGACTGAAATTAAAATAAGGACATTTATTTTTTACCACGCATACAAATTTACCATTATTATTGTGAAATGAAACATCTGAAAAAACGATTTGATGTTGTTGTTTTTTTTCTCTGATGTTCGATATAGAAAAATGAAACTCATCGTTTTGCTAAACAGATCGAATAATCAAAACATACTCAGATTCCTCAAACGATCTGGATAATTTTCCAACTTTTTTTTCTCCACGGAAACAAAATAAGACATTACATAGGCCTGCGATGGTTTTATTGCCTTGAAATGTTTACATGTTCCACAGAAATTCCTGTACGCTGAATGCGAAAATGATATCCATTTTTCTCCGTCACGTACAGATTTTTCACAAAACGTCATATTTACTTTTACATAAGTGAATCATTTTCATTGAAATCAGATCACATTTTGTTATGCTTAAAATGTTAACAACCACTGGCTATAGATATATCTAGACCAATCGCGACGTGAGAGTCTCATTGATCGTTCTAGAACCCACGAGAAACACACCGCTAGTATATTTACGCTTAACAGGCCGTATGACTTGTCGTTTCTGGATAGTATTTGTTTGTACGTGCATTCTGACATTATTTTTTTTTTATCAATACTTTTTATTCGTCGCCATGGCAACAAGAGGTAGTGTAAATGACCCAAACATATTATGTTATATTTGTGGTCAATTTGATCGAAGTAAATTTTTTTTTTCTTCCCGATTTGTAAAAAAATTCTAATGCGATAGAAAAAATTAATATTATTTTCGTAATCTGCGTAGCTGAATTATAGAGAATTCGTTATTAAAACCAAAACAACTTTTATGAAGCTTAAATTCGTAGGGAGAAACTTATCTTAAACCCATGGCTATTTCATCTATTCGACCATAATAGATGTTGTTCAAAAGTGTGCTTAGGAAACTATACGCTTCTTTCACTAACATTCCTTTGGAAGAGACCATGAAGCTAGAGATAAGTTTGGTACATGATAAGACGGCACAAGAAACTGAAAGATTTTTAGCGCGATTTTCTTACACGACGTACACACATCTGGTTTCCTTTTTGTTTTTCTTCAACTGACGTTTTTTCACTGCTCACAGTCGCTATTTAGATAAACTATCGTTTTTTGTTTTGAACCATAAACGTTTAGTTTGTATTCTAATTTATCACTCACACAACCACGTTGTGGCCTTGCTAGTCTGTGTTAAGTTTCTATATAGAAGCTATGTACCGCGATCTACAATTGTTACAGTATTTTAATAAGTACTGCATATGTGTATTGTAGTCTATATGCAAAACAATTATCTTATTCATTAAAATAGGACATATTTATAGATAAACGGATTCCCGACGTAGTTAACATGTTTCTTATTGAGTTTTGTCATTTTAGTAACTCCATCTGACAGCCAGGAAGTGCTGCGTAGTCCAGTGAAGGAACATCCTGAATCCCCAGCCAAGCCCCATGGATCTCCAAACGGAGAAGCTGGACTAAAGGTATTTCATTAGATGTAACTGTCTAGAAATTAAACAGAATATTTTCAGCAACAATTCTCAACATATTTTCATCTGAACCAAAAAGTGCCATAAATTACTGGTTTGTATACTGGTTACTGATACATCAAGGGACTTATTGGTCCACATAGGTTATCCCATCCACTATACAAAACTTTGAAATAAAAATAAAACACTCGAAGTCAGTCCTTATCACTCAAGAATTTATCAAGCCTTCCCTTAAAACTCCTTTAAATTTACTGTATTCAGCACATCTGAAAAAAATCCGTTCAAAAGACCAACCGCCTTGTTAGAAAAATAAACTGTCTTAACTTAAGATGATTACTACTCAGGGGGCGGATTAAATGACGGGCCTGGGGTTAAATTTTCTACCGGGTTTATTATGATCGCGACTAAAGACTAAAGTATATATAAAAAAAACAACTAAACCTCATACTGGTCCTGGGGCTACAGCCCAAATAGCCCTCGCCTTAGTCCGCCTCTTCTCCTACCCTGCCAAACTGTATCGTCGTGTCCTACAGTTCTCACCATTAAGTACATAAAAAGATGATACATTAACGCTATCAGTTCTTAACAGTTTTATACACATCATTAAAATCTCCCTTAACTTTACTTTGTTCAAGAGAAAACAGTTTTAAAGGTCTCAACATGTTCTAATATGATAACCTTTTCATCCTAGTAGCCACCCTCTGAACCCTTTCCAACAATTCAGTGTCCTTTCTAAGGTAAGGAGCTCAGGACTAAACATTATACTCAATCCATGGCCTAACCAGTGACCTGTACAATGACATTATAACCTTTTTAGACTTAGATTCAGTATTTCTGTATATAGGACCTAAAATCCTATTTATCCTGCAACTAGTATAAGAACACCAAGATTTTTCACCCATAACTCTTAAAGTTATTTCCATCAAAATTATACTTATAATTCAAATTATGATACGTCACATGCATTAACTTGCATTTATTATAATTATCATCTGCGGTTCATTCGCTTAACTCAACAGATAATCCTTATCCTTTGATAAAGTAGCACCCTCCTCTTGAGATAATAACAGGACTCAAAAGCTTAATATCATCAACACACTTAGGTAATGTATTGAACATTCCTTTTATGTAGCAGCTTGTCAAATTCTTTATGAAAATACAAAAACACCAAATCCACACCATTACCCTTATCCACATGAGCAGTAATATCTTTAAAGAATATTTAACTGTGTATATATATGAATATTCGCCACTGAATCCTCCCCTGTTCCAAATAGTAGACCCTTATATCACGAGTTATCAAAGGTCGTGAGTTTTGCCCTGTAACTTTCAAGATATGGTTAAGACACTCGCTTCGCAATCTGAGGATCGCGGGTTCGAATACCACCCCTGAACACGCTCGCCTTTTCAGCCATGGGAGCGTTATAATGTGACGGCCAATCTTGGTAAAGTGTAGCCCAAGAGTTGGCAGTGGGTGGTGTTGCCTAGCTACCTTTCCCATAGTCAAAGTTAGGGACGGCTAACGCAAATAGCCCTCGAGTAGCATTGCGCAATATTAAACAACAAAAAAATAATATCTACAAAACAATACCTTTAAACGTCATCATACTTAATGTGAGACATTCAATGTACATAACATAAATAGAACTAATAAACAGTCGTGTTCACAAAACACCTTTTATAAATCTACTTTGCTTTTCAGAGTGGTTTTGAATGTGACGTGAATGGCCCAACATCTCCGACAGTAATTATTACAGACACATCTGGTACACGTTCTAAGTCCAATGGAAAATCGCCATCTTTGCCTACCCAAGTTTAATGGTGTCTACAATTCTTATATGGTGAGACACTCTGCAGAAGTGTTTGAAAAATGTTTGTTTTTTTAACTTCGTCTGAAATTACCCTCTTTATACATATAAGCTATTTTTCAGAATTTTAAAAACATTATGACACGAAACGTATAGTAACGTAAGATTACATATACAGAGCGTGTGTATGTCATACTTCCCGGTAAAACTTGGCTATAAAAACATTATGATACGAAAAATATAGTAACGTAAGATTACATGTAGAGATTGTGTGTCATATTTCACGGTAAAACTTGGCTTTAAAAACATTATGACACGAAACATATAGTAACGTGATATTATGTCATACTTCCTGGTAAAAATTGACTTTTTGAGAAACTATAGGGGACTAAAAAACGTTTCTCTATTACAATAAGTTATTAAAGAAAATGGTTTTACAGTTCTTCAAATTGTGATTTCTGATTTCACATTTCTCAACAACCGTGGGATGAATGTAAAAAGCAGGTTTATCATTTACCAGAAACGTTTAAAACTATCGTCGTGTCGGGTTATGTTATATATTTATCTTCTCAGTTATGGTTTCAGAATCTCAGTAATTTCGTAACGATACGAAAGTGTTTATAGTTTCTCTTAAATTAGAAAATAAAGCGTCCCCAATGGCTCAGCGATGAGTTTGCAGGCTTACTACTCTACAATTCGAGTTTCAATATCCGTTATTGGCAGAGGATAAATAGCTTATTGTGTAGCTTTGGTCTTAAAAAATCATCGACCATCCAAAAATAGAGCTTGATTCTAAAATTTTGCCACACATAAAAAATTACCATTCATTTTGCTTAATTTAAAGATTCTTAGAGAAAGGTACGTGAATATTTACAAGTTATTCCTTGCTTTTAAAATACAATGAAATGTTTTAGCCTATCACACGTGTTGAATGTGCGTTTATTAAACATTATTTTCTCACGATGAAAGTACTACAATGATTTTAGCTATCTCTAGTACACATCAAAATATTGTTAGTGACATCCATGTATTATACCTTTAATGTTATTTTAAACTATTTTTTTGTAAATATTTTTCGATAGTCTCACAATTTCTTTCTGATTTACAGTTACAAAAATGTCCTTCTTGTTTTATAATTGGATAATTCTGTGGTTTCAAAATTTATTTCTGGTTTACCGTTACAAAAATAATTCCTTTTTGTTTTATAATTGGAATATACTAATGGTGCCAAGTTTCTTCGCTTAGATTGGTGCAACAGGATATAAAAATACAAATGTCTCGGGGTAATAGATGTTACAGAATAAAAACACATATATGTTTTAAAGTTTGATGTTTTGTTATCCTAAGGGTTACAGTGTTTCACAAACTTCAGTGTTTTACACCATTTTAAATGTATCTTTTCTGCAACATGGTCCACGACATTCTTCACATTGGATAAACATTTAACCATTTTAGACCCAAAAGCAGTGAGACAGTAATAACCTAGTTGTCACTATATATTCTTCTTCTTTGGTTTGTTTTTGAGATGTGATCTCACTTAATTCTTGAGCTGCTGGTTTACATGAAATACGTGATATTTTCCTCTCACTTGTGTAATTCACTTCTCCAGGAAGTTTCCTTGTTCCTAAATATGGAACGCATGTTATTAGATGCCATTTTCCAACTACACATTTTACTGATCATAATTTTAGATAGCTGTTGATCAAGGTTGTTTTAAAACGTCTCATTAACGTAAAAATGATATTTAAAGTCGTCCGTATACAGAATCTGAGCCACAAATTAAAAGATAAAGGTGCTGGATGTATAATTTGAATCTGTTTTTTTACTCAGGCTGCTTGAGCCTACATCGGATGGCTGAGAGGGGATTGCACTACTGGAAAAATGGATAAACATCACAACCGTTCGCCAATGTTTTTTCAAGTTGCTTTAATGGATGGATATTCTTTCAAGGTCCTGTTTACCATGCCTTTTATAATTCATTCCATATTGCCATTCAAAGCAGTGAATGCCTTTAATCACTTTTTTTACTTTACTTTTAGCGCAGAATAAGCTGTTGATATACCATTGTATAGTGTAAGTTGATACTATTTTAATATTATATTCTAATTATCGTCTGTAGTTAAACAGTATAGTAACTTCCTAATATTCATAAAATATCTGACTGGAATTTCAGAGAAAAAATATTTATAGCTTGAGAACTCTGTTTTCAGCGTCTTACAGTTCTTTCTATTTGTTGTTGTTTTACACTTTAAAATGTTTAAATATGATAAATTTATCTGGAATCTTACTAGGAATTAGACTAGTCTACAGAAATAGTAAATGCATTTCTTTTCTGTTTTCTTCATAAAATTTTAACTCCAGTTGAAAACAAAAGTGTTTTTCCAAATTTGATAAAAAAAAAGACAAATTCCAAAAATTAAAATACTACTCTTGCTTTAAGCTTTACCAAGTTCATTAAAATATTTTAATTCAAAATATCAGGTTAACCAATGAATGTTTTATATAACTCTAAGTCAAAAATCTCTTTCAAACCCATTTACCGTAATAAACTATTTTATTTGTTTAGTTCACACGTAAGGAAGGTAGCCTAGATATGCACCTAAAACTAAGTATATATAAGGTTAACTTCAACCACAGAAGACATGATATACAACTCTAGGCCCAAAATCTCTTTCAAACACATTTACTGAAATAAATTATTTTATTTGTTTAGTTCACACGTAAGGAAGGTAGCCTAGATATGCACCTAAAACTAAGTATATATAAGGTTAACTTCAACCACAGAAGACTTGATATACACACAGTGATTAACCTGTATTTATTCAGTAACTGCGAAATTCATATATCCTGCTAATTTTCGTTTTCACAACATATATTGCGTATGTATGTAAATCCGCAAGAAGCCTGGTTTACATGCAACATAAAATACATAAGATGAAATAAAACATATATTGATTGTTTTCTCACGGAGAAAAAATAAGAAGGTTTTGTTGTCTCAAGAAATCAAATCAAATAATATTTGAATATTAATTTGTTGATTTCCACAGCGCTGAAACTTATGCAGTTCTAGGTGTTATTCAATTATATACAAATGCATAAGCTATCCTTTTATATATTGAGTACCGTATTTTTCATCACTTATACAATATGCTCACTGTTTATCAGCACAGACAGAATGGGGCAACAACCATACTTTATCAATACACCGTCATACAACATTCAACAACAAGCAAATCATTACTAAGGTAAAATACAAGCATTTCATTCTGCCACATATTTGATAGAATGAAATACTTACTATACAGAAACGTCACGTGTGATTTTTTTTTATTACGTTGTAGAATCCACTTTTGTCATGAATTGATTGAATTTATTAAATCTTAATCGATATTTCTCTCTGAAATACCAAAGATTTTCGCGCAGTTTGAAACTTTATAACAATTTATCTGCTGCTTTATCTGTGTATATAACTAAGTAATTAAGTAGTGATACTTTAGCTAATATATCTTTTTACAACACAACTTATTTTACTCGCATTGGAACAACTTTATTCCTAACTCTATGCATTTAAAGGGCTTATATAATTGTAGTATTTCAGTTTTTTAGATGGTTCAATAAGCTAGATGTGTAAGAAAAGATGAATAGAGAAAAACTTTTAGAGAGAACAATATAAGGTAATCTGTATATATTCACAAACATTCACATTTAACAAATTTAGTATAGCACGTTACTGTCTCTTGCTCAAAACCAAATATGCATTTTTCTAGTCTCTCGAATGCTTTTTTAGCTTGTTAGAGTTGAAATGAAAAATGATAGGTTTACGTAAACACCTTCTAAGGGTTTGATAGTTTTTCCTCTATTTTTAACTAATAGTTTTGGTTTAAGCGATTATTCGGTGATATTTCCAGAAAGATTGATGTAGCAACTTCTTGGCTAAATATAGTAGACATTTCATGTAGCACTGTTCTCTCCCTCACGCTTCACATCTTCATTACTAAGATAACATTAAACTCTTTTGGCAGTGGACGTGAAATCAAACCTATGTAATTTCCTAACCAAATTTTATGTGATAATCAATTAAACTTTATGAATAATTAGGAAAGTACATATTTACTACATGAAGAACACCGTAGTTTGGCGGGCATGCCTTTTTTTTTTAACGTAATCTTGAATTCTTAGAATTTGTGTTGATAAGTTCATTCCTTTTGTTACGTTAAGAAACTCAATTATTTATTTTATGGAGAATACTGAATCTTTTTTATAAGTGTTCGTAAAGTAAAACTGTGGTCCAGTACGTAACTGTTGACTGCTTGTGAAACTATATTCACATATAGAGCGTAACTGTTGACTGCTTGTGATATGGATGACCTCGGTTCGAGTATAAATTAGTTTTCTCAAAATAATTTCACGTGGAATAGAAAATAGGAAGATACAAAAATATCAGGCTTGAAAATTGACGTGAAGTTTTTTTTTACTGGTTAATTCTAGAAAATTGCCATTATGTATTGATTTGAAATAACATTTTTTAACAGCGGCCATCTGAAAGTCCTCTAAGCAGGGCTGGCCCTTGAGATGGGCTACGTGTGCCCCCCACACAGGGCGTCAAAGGCAACATTGCAATTAACAGTTCTAGTCAATTTTCCCTTGGGCCGGCTCAACGTCTAAGTTAAACTTTATGTGGCCAGGGCACGCTTATTTTTTTTTAATACATATCTATTTTATGTTTTAATTATTGTAACTATTGTCAGTAAACATGAAAATTATTTTACTGGAATATTCCAATATTTATTACAAGATACATATATATATCATCTAAATAGGATAAAAACAATTTGAGTACAACCAAAAATGAGTTTTATGCCATTTTAAAACTTTATCATATACAATACACCCAGGAAATTCCTTGGTTTATAATGTTCGCTAAAATGTCTTGAATTTTTTAGATTCAAGATGATTTTCCAAATACTTAATGTTGTACATTAGTTTACATAATTTTACCTTAAACTTGAATTATATTTATTTTTATAATAAAGAGCGTCAATATAAAATCTTAATTTTAGTGAGTTTTAATTGCGTTTTGGGGCAATTATTATTATTTTTTTTAGTTTAGAAACATTCACCTGTATATGGTGTTACACTCGAGAGTGGAGATCGTCCACACACTATTTTTGGATAAATGCCTATTTCCCATACTTCTATCTTCATTGTCATTTGTCTGGTATAGTAGTTTTTGGAATGTTTCAGGTTTTGCTATTTTATCTCCGCTTGGGTAACCCTATACAGTTCATTCATTATTGTCTTCACTTTTTTATTGCGGATGTTTACTGAACTTCTTTTTCGTTCTATAGAAAAAAAAACCGGACTAAGTAGTTAAGCCTATTATGTATTAAGGTTAAACCTTAAACGTTACAGTTAGTTGTCGTCGTGTATAACTCATTATCAATATAAATGTTTTTATAAGTTGAAAGGTTAGAATGAAGTGCATCTAGCCAGTTGTTCATTGCAAGTACCAGAGGAATTATTTACCCATTATTTATCTACTGATCACCAACAAAGCCAATTTGCGTACGATAACAACATGAAACTGAAAGTATTTACGGAAATTATCACATCAGTGTGTGTGTATTAACTTTTCATGTTCCTAAAGAAATCCTATACAGATTTACTGTTCTGAGCTAAAAGCTACCAACTTTTTAAATAACAATAAATTCAGCAAAGGTACATATTATAACACTGACATCATGCCGGACAGATAGTCAACGAAAATATAAAATCTATGCGTAAACAAGAATTAGACAACTCTGAACAATTCGTTTTTTTGTTTTAATTAAGTAAGTGAAGCCAATCAGATTATGTGAAGGGGATCGGCTTTATCCTTTCAAACGAGCTAATTTTCTGGCCCCTCAACAAACTGAAACGTCACAGCTGTAACAAATAGTTTTAACTTCGGTTAGCTACTTTGAAATGAAACGTCATTTATGCAATGAAATTTATCTATATTATATTATGATGATACACATTTTCTTAGTGAACTCATCCATCCACTGTAATAAATACTAAAACATTTATGGGTAAATTATATACAAAATTCTTCGTTCAACATCTTTCCAATTAGGCATTTTCAGAGAAAACGCGATACGCGAGAAAATGGTTGTATATGAAAAAAAAAAAGGTCACAAGATTATGGCCGACTTTATTTATATTCGAAATTTGAAGACTGAATTCTGACGTTCCAAATGCCAGTTCGCTGGGTACAAACAAACGGAGAAAGTCTTAGCTTGAACTGAGTATATACGTGTTCTTTCGCCACCACGAACTTCAATTAGATAGAATGTTGGCTAGTGGATTATCGACTTGTTATATCTGGTTCCATGACCATACAATCCTCACTTTATAGTTTTACTTTCGTGTGATGCATCATAATAATCTTTTATGCAAATTAACTGATCTTTTCAAATGTTGTCTGACGAAGAAAAATAATATTGGAACTAAATAAGTGCACTATACTTCCTGATAGGAATCTATCTACAAGGCACCAATGTTCCCGCTATTTTTTCATGTACACCAGTATCAAGGCAATGTGCAAATTTGCGTTATCAGTTATTTATTTTTATTTTTTTGCGGGGGGGGGGGTATTTTTAGACCATCAACCCTATTGAATAATTACGCCGCTTTGCAATGCTACCAGTTGCTTATTTCGGCTTTAGGATTATCGACTGCCTCTTCACCATTACTGAGAATGTGAGCGGCTGGAATAATGAAGTGCGCGACATATGATTGGTTGTTATGTGTCCGCGCAGCCAAGGGGGAACACTGCAAGGCACTCCTATGACTATCTGAACTGCTTAGTGTCTGTTTGCATAAACTCTTTAATCTCTTATTTTATCCAGATTTTCCTTATTTAAGGTATTCGATGAAATTGTTCTACGTCATTACTTTCATCGCTGAAGACAAATGTAGATTTTCGTAATTTTCTGTGTATCTATTCCAAGTTTTTATTTACAGAATATTTTTGCACAAAGAATTACTTCTTTAGTATTTGTATTGTTGGAATTAATGTCTACGTCCACGTGGAATTGTGCATCGGTTCGGTAAAATACGGGGTTGTAAGGACCAGACTATTACATTAAACGCCGCTAAACAGTAATATAATTATAAATGAGACCGTTTTAATTTCAAAAGTTATTTGCCTAATATCAGTTACGATGATTCGTATCATGTTTAAATTATTTATAAATATTTGAATACTGACATACGCTGTTTATGAAAAAAAAAAAAAGGATAAAAGTCACAGGTGTAATGTTTGTTTCATAAGTGTTGGTGGTGAAGGGCAGTGGTTAACTTGTCGAAATATGAAAAAAAAAAAAAATGCGCCTCACAATATGGGTCGAAGGTGTGTTATACGAGTGAAGGTTAAGTACCAATATTAGATAGTAGCCCACAAGTTAGTGATGTTGTTGACAAGCTACCTTCCCTCCAGTCTATTACTTCAAAATTAGGGACGGCTAGCGGAGGTAGCTCTTGAGTAGTTATGTACAAAATTTGATAACAAACAAATACAAATGGGAGATTAGGGGGAGGAGTGTTACCTTATATCTCTGCACAAACACATCATATGGCTAAATACTACTGCTGTTAACACTTGGGGGGGACGATCTCCAACTTCCCCCATGTAACTTCCGTCTATGATGCAAGATTGTTTAGAATGGTGAATATGTCGCGTTAAAATAATTCTAAGAATTAGCGAACAGTTTATGAAGAGGCAGTAACAGAAATCATAAAAATATGACATTAGAACGATTTTCATTGGTTGGTTTAATATCTTCACGTTTTATATTTGAAATAAATTTGTGCTATCTAAATGTTTATTTGTAAGGAGTTTGTTTCTGTTAATACAACCATTCAGCATCTCAACATTGTTTTACCCGTCATATAACCACGTGTTAAATTAAAATATAAGTAAATTTCAATGGTAAAATGTTTCTTCTTATATTTATATCACTGTGTTATGGGCCAACGTATGTTAAAATTATAATGTTGTTCAGGCTTTTCAGGACACTTGTGGTGTGCTAATGTAAGGCTATTTTACATAAAAGCTAGTCATGAACTCGAGACTAAATTTATCATGTCTCAAAAGTTATTGCATTTATTTGAATTTGACTGCAAGTCATAAATTTGTTTGATTTACCAACAGCTATTTTATGTATCAGTACTGCTTGTAATCTCTTTTTGCCGTTTGTAGTAGTGTGAACATACTTTTCTTTTGTGAATTAATGAATAAATTCTATGTTAGTTTATAAACTGCACTCCTTAACAATTCATAAAAATGAAACGCTACGAGCATAAATGTAAATTGTTTTGGAATAATTAAAAATAAAAATTATCCCCTAAAATAAATGTTATATAATTAATTTGTTCTTCTGTACTTTTACGTTTTATTTATGTATTGATTCTTGACTTTATGCTACGTGATTCATGTTTATTTTGGGACCAACATTTCTTTACTTGCTTGCACATTCCGTGCAATGAGAACCCATCAAAACTGTACTTTTATACCACTGTATTGCACATGAAACTTTTCTTTCAATAAAGTTTCTATTCAGCTTCATCGAGTATCTCCAAGCTTATATAATTATGTATTATACAACTTTAGCCAGTATTCGTGTTTCTGTTAATCAACTCAAATATATTTTCGTATGTTAAAATTTTCAGTTGCGATAAACCATGTTAAAAAACAATCTATTTCAGCTACAGCTTCTAGAAATAAAAAACATATTTGGATGAATTCCTTAACTGACTTAACGCGTGTAATTTCAACTAATATTCAGTTCTGTTACATTTATAAATACTACTTAAAAATCGATAACCGTTTCACACGAGTCTTATAAGAAACATAACTATTGATGTCATTTGTTTTGGTTGAAAATAGAGATTTCTGTATGTTATTATTATAAAATGACGTAAAGAAATTTACAAACATGTGATACGTGACGTGAACAGTCATTACTGATCTGTTTTACCTGCCGACAAAAAATTATGAAATAATCTACAAGGCCTTATGATATTTTGTTGTTTTTTTTAACATGACAACAAACTCGCCTGTCTTTGTAAGTGAAGTGTGTTTTATTAATTTCATACTTCAAAACGTAAAGGTTGCAGCTCGATAAGACTTGTCTCAATTTTTACGAAATATCAGCAGTATTTTGCATGTAAATGTATTTTACTCTGTAATTTTTTTTAAAAAAAACACCGTTTTATTTCTTAAAAAAAAAAAAACAACAACAAAACTGAACACTTTACAAAGCGCGATAAATAACCATCTGTCGTCTATGGCAACAGAAATAAAATACTTAAACCTTGCTTTTGAAATATGATAAACGTCAATGGAAAGCAACTCACAAATAGGATACAGCAAATCTTAAAACTTCAAAAGACTATATACTCAAATAAAATCTAGGAACGTTTCAAATTTCACTATACGACATTTGTTAAACTTCTGAAATTTCAACTTAAAGAGCTTTACAAATGGAATTTCAAACTCGTGTTGTGAATTTTAAACAGATTTGATGAAAAAAAAATTTTGGAAATAAAAATATTTGGGATGATTTATAATTCGCGCAACATTACTACATCATAGCGAAAACTGGATGGTACTGGAGGAGGACATGCACGCACGTGCACACACAGTCGTTCGACCGTCAGAATGTTGTTCAGGTAAAAATCGATGCCTACATTTCTTCAGACTCCGAGTACAAAGTCATGCCTTTATAATGTTGGCTTTAAGTTTTCAGAACGCGTTGAGTTAATCGTATTGTACTGAAAAAAAAAGGGGCTGCAACAGTTACTTCTTTTTTTTTAACAAGCATCCTGATAGAGGCACAATTTCAAAATCAACAGCAACCAGAACGTTGCAACGGCTCATTTACAACGGAATCTTGACAGTGGGTATTACTGAACGACCATCTGGTGGCCAAAAGGTGACTCACAGAACACACGCTTTTCATTTGTATAACATTCTTCACGTACTCTTTAGTTTCCGCGATGTTCCGAATATGTGCGAATTATGAATTATTTAGTCTGCGAGTATTAGTTACCAAGGAAACCTATAGAGGGCACTATTAATTCATCGCTAAATGTAGTTTTTCTATCTCTCTATACTAAGTTTGGGTGTCACGTTTATTAGGTCACCACTAAACAGCAAATTTTCTAAACACTGAAATTAACATTTTAAAACTTGTTTTATCTAAAAGTTATTTATAAAATGTATACATACATATACGTATATATATATATATATATATATATTTATATAGTGTAAATATTTTTGTTCTGCAGTTTTTATATATGGAGGTAGATCAATCATTTAATCTTAACTGATACAGTCTGATGTTTACAACCAAAACATTATGAAAAAAAAATATGAAAACGAACTTGGTTACTAAACGTTTAAGAATTATTTTACGGTTATAAAAAACAGGTATTCAAACAAGTTATTTCTTCAGCTTCCATTCACTGGCATGTACATCTTATATTTGTTTATCTTATACTTCATTCAGTTTTTGAACAAAACTCAATCATAACATGTAATCTATAACTCATACGTGACCTTTGTCCTCTACGACCATACTACAAGATAATGTCCTCAATCATAACATGTAATCTATAACTCATACGTGACCTTTGTCCTCTACGACCATACTACAAGATAATGTCCTCAATCATAATATGTAATCTATAACTCATACGTGACCTTTTGTCCTCTACGACCATACTACAAGATAATGTCCTCAATCATAACATGTAATCTATAACTCATACGTGACTTTTGTCCTCTACGACCATACTACAAGATAATGTCGTCAATCATAATATGTAATCTATAACTCATACGTGACTTTTGTCCTCTACGACCATACTACAAGATAATGTCGTCAATCATAATATGTAATCTATAACTCATACGTGACTTTTGTCCTCTACGACCATACTACAAGATAATGTCCTCAATCATAATATGTAATCTATAACTCATACGTGACCTTTGTCCTCTACGACCATACTACAAGATAATGTCCTCAATCATAACATGTAATCTATAACTCATACGTGACTTTTGTCCTCTACGACCATACTACAAGATAATGTCCTCAATCATAACATGTAATC